TGGGTTTTTAATGCATCTGTATGTAGCAAATATCTCTCCTAGCCTTTATACACACACACACACACACACACACACACATATACACATTTGTGTGTATATATATACGTAAAATATATATTTACATTTATACATATGTGTGTATAATAATACCATTCCTGGAAGGAAGCTCATGACCTTAGAAATAAAATTTAGTTTTAAATCCTGCATTTGATATATACTAGCTGTGGCAACTTTGGCAAGGTTTTTGATTGCTCTGAATTTCAATATCCTCTTCTGTGAAATGATAATTTAAAAAGTAATTCAGAAAGTTGTTGTGGGAATTAAATGAGTTAACATTGTAAAATGTGCTTAGCTACAAAGTAAGTACTCATTAAATGAGTTAATTGTAGTATTTTCATAATCATTTATTTTTGATGTTTTCCATTTACATTAATAAAACAGGTTTATTGAAGTGTCTCAATTCATTGGAATAAAAAGCAGATAATATTTTTCTCTAAAAACTGCCGTGCCACCCTAACAACTATGCTATGTTGAACTTACTTGTCCCCCTCTATAGTGGCAATCTTGACCAGATCATGCATGGTTTTGACCTCAGTTAGATCTTGAGCAGATCCTAAATGAGTTTTTTTGTTTGTTTGCTTGCTTGCTTTCAATTTAAGACCCAGTTCTGTTAATTTTAAAACCTTAATTGTGTATTCCCAGACATCCTTTGCAGAATGCACCTGTCTGTGGCTACAGTGGCACAGAGTAAGGGGACATATTCTGCTTTTAGCCACCTTCCTGCTCCTGCCTCTTACAGGTGCACTCTCCTAGGTGATAAGCAGGAAAAATGGAACAAGAAAGGGGCAAACCGGATGAAGATCCAATCTTCATCTTGGTTAGCCCTAATAACTGTTCTCTCTCATTTTAATCTATGAATATTAGAAGGTTGGTAGGTAAGGGGCACCAGCACTCACGTGCCCCACAGATGAAGGCCTCAATCCTGGGCAGCATCTTTAGGCATTTGTAGTTTTGGAATGATTCAGACATAGCTTCAGGTTGACTACCAGTTGGTGGCATTCGTGCCTTATCTCTTTAATCCCCTAAACTGTAGAGGTCACCAGATGGCACTGGACCTTAATTTCAGCTACCCTCCAGCACTAGTGCTCAGGTTGGCAGGCTTGTGTGGGATCCATCCTCTTTACTTCTCAAGAGTGTGGAATTTGATGAGGTGTTGTCATGACTCTTCTACCTCATAGTTCCCCATATGTCATCTCTCTAACCTTGCTTAAAGAGCACTGGGACCGTTGACCAAGTCCCTGACCAAGCCGGCCTCCAAACAGAAATCACTGTATGTCTTCCTTTTTTGCAGGCACTCTCCTCATTTAGGAATTATCTCTCGGCCTTCTCCTCCCTTGAGAGTAACTTCTTCCTACACACCTTGCTTTGCACTAGAGTCCAAATGCTCTCTAGCTTGTCAGCCATCTTATATTCTCTGTGGATCATGGTGTTGGGTGGTGTGAGTGGAAAGACTGCTTTTCAATGGTGGGTCCTTCAAATCCGTGAACAGATGGTTGAAATCAGTTATTGGTAACTCTGTGAACTTAGATTGTGGAAACTACTTCATTTTGTCCTGAGCTTTGGTTCTTAACTAATTCCAGGACATAAGAAAAAATACCTTTAAACATTGCATTAGATAGAATAGCAATAAACACAATAGAGTTTAAAATAGCCAATAACATTTAGTGATACTCATAAGTGAGTAAATCAGAGAAAAATTGTTCTTGGCTACCATAACCTTTTTTTTTTTTTTTTTTTGAGACAGAGTCTCACTGTGTTGCCCGGGCTAGAGTGCCGTGGTGTCATCCTAGCTCATAGCAACCTCAAACTTCTGGGCTCAAGCGATCCTTCTGCCTCAGCCTCCCGAGTAGCTGGGACTACAGGCATGTGCCACCATGCCCAGCTAATTTTTTCTATATATTTTTAGTTGTCCAATTAATTTCTTTCTAATTTTAGTAGAGACGGGGTCTCGCTCTTGCTCAGGCTGGTCTCGAACTCCTGAGCTCAAACAATCCGCCCGCCTCGGCCTCCCAGAGAGCTAGGATTACAGGCGTGAGCCACCGCGCCCGGCCCCATAACCTTTTTTTTTAATAGAGTAAAATCTAAAGGAAATTGTGTAATATGCTAAATGTGTAATATGTTTTAATCCTATGAAATTCTACCCTTTGCATTTAAGATAAATGACTTCATTTGCATGTAATAGTAGGAGTGGCGATGAAGGAAAGGGAAAGAAACAGATGTTTATGGAATGAACTGTTTCAGGACCAATGTCTATTATTTTTTTAATAATAAACTATCGATAATATTTGAAATGCTTTGGGATAAAGCGTTTAGGCCTGTGCTCCCAAAAGAAATATTACTTCTCTTTTTAAACTGAACATAATCCAAATGATAAAACATAAGAAGACTTATAGATAGCTGAGTATTTCTATTAAACCTGAGTTAAATGTGGTCTAAACGCAACTCTAAATGCAATCAAACTTAGCTTGATTTTCAGTTGTTTTTTCTGAACAATTTAGCTCAACAGAAGCAAAGATCAAATCACTGTACTTGTGAATTTCTTGGTTAATGTGTCCTTTTCTGTCTTAAATAATGAGTCGAGCCAGACTTATTCATTTATCTTCACGCAGACGGCAGCCTGTGAGTCCTCCTCCACCACCACGGCCAATTTCCCCGCCACATACCTATGGCTACATTTCAGGACCCCTTGTCTCTGATATGGATACAGACGCACCAGAAGAGGAAGAAGACGAAGCTGACATGGAAGTAGCCAAGATGCAAACCAGAAGGCTTTTGTTACGTGGGCTTGAGCAGACCCCTGCCTCAAGTGTCGGGGACCTCGAGAGCTCCGTCACGGGGTCCATGATCAATGGCTGGGGCTCAGCCTCAGAGGAGGACAACATTTCCAGTGGACGCTCCAGCGTTAGTTCTTCTGACGGCTCCTTTTTCACCGATGCTGATTTTGCCCAGGCAGTCGCAGCGGCAGCAGAATATGCTGGCCTGAAAGTGGCACGACGCCAAATGCAGGATGCTGCTGGTAAGTCATACA